TGTCTCAATAATTAAAGATTTATTGGAAAATTCATTTTCGAGACGAGACGTTACTACTAAAAACGAAATATTTAAATTAAGTAGACTGATGCCGGATATTATTGTATCGCAAAACATTAAGATTAAAGGACAACAGTGTGTACGACATTTTCAAAATTCTATGTATGAAAAATTTAAATGGTTAACTGGTTGTAGTGAATTGAATAAGTTGTACTGTTGGCCATGTTTACTTTTTGTTGTAATTGAAAAGGACAAGAATATTTGGAAAAAACAAGGCTACAGTGATTTAAGTCATCTCCACGAAGCTGCAAAGAAACATGAAAAAATGCAATCTAACATAAATGCTGTAATACTATTAAAAACATTTGGTACCGCCAGGATAGATTTAATGTTAGATCAACAAAAGGCTTCACCGATTGTTCAACACAATGAAAAAGTGCAAGAAATAGAAATATTCTCAAAAGATTAATAGATGTAGTTTGTTACTTAGCAAAACAAGAAGATGCATTTTGTGGAAACAATGAGAATATAAATTCCCTTAATCGAGAAAATTATATAGCTTTAATAACTTTAATTAGTAAATATAATGACCTTTTAGCAACCCATCTAAGAACTGCAACTGTATTTTCTGGAACCTCTAATAGAATGCAAAGTGATATTATTACATCGATAAAAAATATTGTAATTTCAGAAATTAGAAATGAGGTAAAAGAAACGCCATTCGTTGCTATTATACTGGATGAAACATCTGACATATCTCACAAATCGTAATTGTCGGCTGTGCTACGATATGTTAACAACTTGATTTGTGTCGAATGTAGTTAATAATTGTAGTGCATCAGTGGAAAGATTTTTGTTTTTTAAAGATGTTGGTCATGATCGTTCAGCGGAAGCTTTGTGTAATGTTGTGCAAGAAACAATTTTGAGTTGGGGTTGTGAGAATAAACTGATTGCTCGAACATACGATGGGGCAGCAGTCATGACAGGAACGTAGAATGGGACGCAGAAAAAAGTAAAACACATTTTCCCAGAAGCTATGTTTGTGCATTGTTGTGTACATGTACTTAATTTAGTTCTATCACAATCTGTATTGTTTATAAAAGATTTAAATTATTTTTTGCAACAATTTCTGGCATAGCCTCATTTTTTTTTTTTTGTTGTCTACAAAAAGAAATCATGTTTTAAATGAAATTATTAAAAGAAAATTTCCAAAATTAGCTACAACATATTGGAACTATTCATCTCGTTTGGTAAATACCTTAAAAAGCAAAAGGCAAGGCCTATCTGATTTATTTGAAAATATTATTGAGAATCCAGAAGGCTGGGATAATGATACAATTAATATTGCAAAGAGTTATCTTATGTTTTTTGAAGAATTTAACGGTAATTTTCTCCTAAATATTTTTGCCAAAATGTTTAGTTATACTGATGTTCTATTTGATATTTTACAAAAAACAAACTTAGATATAGCATATTATAGTCAAAAAGTAGAGGAAGTAAAAGGTGCAATTCAAAATATGCAAACTTCTGTTACATTTGAGGAAGTTTATGAAGAGACTGTTTCTGTAGTGGGTCCCCCAAATTAAAAAAAATGTCGTGTAAATTTACAAAACTCAAGTGTAGACCAAGACTAACATTTTAAAAATTAATATTATGAAATAATGGACACTATTTATTGTCAGTTAGATGTCCGTTTTAAAGAATTAAATTCGCTCAACTTTTTTGAACTATTTGAATTTCAGTTTTTTTAAGAAATATCAAAGTAAATTTCTGGATGAATGCCTTAATTCGTTAAAGAACACTTATGCAAAACATTTCGATTTTGTAAAGCTAACCAATGAATTATGCGTTCTTTATTGTAGTGAGTCATACCATGAAATGAATTTATCGAAACTTATTCAGCATAAAATGCTGAATGATTTGACAGATGGCCTAAGCGAAGTAAATAAATTGGCACATTTAATTTGTACAATTCCATTTTGAACTGCTTCGGTGGAGAGATCATTTTCAGCATTGAAAAGAGTAACAAATTATGCACGCAATACAATGAGCCAGGATCTAAATTTATCTCTAATAGCAATAGAAAAAGAAATGAAATGTTACACTTATTACAGTCAAAACCAGAGTTTTATGATCATGTAATTGATGATTTTGTTAGTAATGCAGATAGATGTATGGATTTTGTGTACAAATGAAAAGTTAAAGAAGTGTTTAATGTACACTTTTATGGTTTTATTATTATTATTGTTGTTCTCTGTACATCCTGCATGAAAACCTACCGCACGCCACTGCCTAAAACAAACATTAATATAATTAAAATTTGCCACATAACAATGAAATAATTGGGCATGTATTGATAAAGGAGAAATATGATTAAGAGAAAGGGACAATGAAGCTGAAGAAGGTTTGGAGATTTTCATAATATTTCTGGATAAATGTTCATCTATATCTGTATATATATTTTATGATGCTTCATTGCACAACAAATTTTAAAAACTACAGTGATAATTTTGTAAGCAGGTAGACTTAGGAAATTATATTCCATCACACTAAAAAAGTTATTACTTCCATGCAATAATAAATATGGTTATTTAAAAATGTTCTTTATTTTTGTTTTTCTGAAATATAAAATCTTTTTTTTAAGCACTTTGTACAGTTTTGATATTATTTATTTAATTATGGCTAATAGATCAAATACATTATCAGCAGACTTGGCAGGCTGCAGTTCTTACAGATCGCATCAAACAACATGGGCAATTAAGTTCTAGAAATGTATATTCAATTGCCCTAAAAAATCTCTTGTTCAGAGTTCATGTGATCCCATTGCTGCTGATTAAAAGGGGTTGTACTATATTACGTTTGTGAAATGAGCTTGCATTCAGACAATAAAAATTTATTAGAAAAAAGATATGAAATCATTTAGGAATTTTTTGAAAAAAAATTACTTGGTATAATGAGACTTTATATATATTTATAAATCTTAAATTAAAATTGTATTAGACTTAGACATATATATTGAGAAAATTATATTTATTTAGGCTAACCAATGTATAAATATAAGAATAGTATATGGTGAATCTAACTGAGTTGTTGAGAAAATTCTGACCACCTCAGAATTTTACTTACAAAGTTCTTCATCAAAATGTTCTCTACATTTGAACTGGAAGCAGTTAAAAAGAGAGGATATAAAGCAATGTAGAAGTGCAATTAGATTTAACTCATTCTTTAAATGTGAGTTGTGACATTCCTTTGAGTGAATCTTTAATTTGTCGCTCTTTATTTTAGAGGGCCAAATTCATGTTCATTGCTCTCGAATCAAATTGTCACATTATATGCAGTGTCAGTCACTGACACAGTATATCTAAAATAAAACACTGCTGATCATTTGTTTTACTGGAGATCAAATTTTTAATCAAAATATCTTACTTTTGCATAAATGATGGCACTCTGAGCCAGTGGATTTCTGTCTCTTTTTATATGGTCTCAAGGCCCTCACCATAGCAGCTTGTATGAGTTCTGTATTAACATACAGGTTCCCTTTCATGACCATTTGTGTTTGGAAGCATCCCTGGCCCATAATATGACAGGAACAAATCAAATTAGTATATTGTGTGCAAGTTTTGCTCCTAATTTTAAAAGCCTGTGCTCTGCTCTTAATTTATTATGTAGAATTTTGCGTTTTATGTTATATAATTTTATATATAAATATTTAAGAACTTCATAAAATAAATTATTAATAAATTATGTGAATAATAAGCTAAATGATTCAAAACATTGTTTTTATAATGAATGAAATAAATTACACAATTTTCTTCCTATATAGTTAATTTTGCTAGTCTGCATTTAGTTTTCAGATGTTTATTAGCATTTAGATTAGAATAACACTAAATAATGCTTTCCTTTCAGTTGTCAAACCCTTATGAATGTTTGTAAATGGGGGAAAAAATGAGCTGCATTCTTATTCATATAGAGAAAATTTTTCTCAAGCCAAGAAATCAAATTTTCAACTACACCTGTACTTTTTTCAAAATTACTGTAGTGAAAATAATAGAAAAAAATTTCTAGTTTTCTCATTACTTCGATCCAAACTGGCAATGGTACAGTTAGTCCTCACTTAGACAACAAAAATATGAAGTTTGAGTTAGAACATCCGCAAAATGTTTTGACACTATATGATCTTTATGTTTCACATAACAATTAACATAATTTGACACATAAGCGAGGGATTCTTGTTCATTTGCCTATACATTGTTTGTTGAATCCTAAATTTTGATTTCAAATTCACAGTAGATATTTTAATAATTAATTGATTCTTCTTCGACTGCAGAAGACTGAAAAATTTCTGCCGTATCATTAGAAGAAAAAGCAGTTTCTAACATTTCTTTCATTACAGAAATTTCACATTGTTTTTTATCTTCACAGTCTGCAAGATTTACCTTTGGTGACAATTTAGATAATTTATTTCCCAATAGCAAGCTTTTCAAATGAATTATTACACCTGATAGAGATGGACAGTATTAAAATTTACTAGACCTCTGATCTGGCTAAATAAGTTCTCAATGCATTTAGCCAAATAATTGATGCAGAGTTAATCCCACTTTAAAATATACAGATGTTCCCCACCTAATGCTCTGAATAACCATTCATATCATTATTTTTTTTCATAAAATATTTTTAAGTTCTCCTAACCATGTTTGGGAGATAAGAGCTAAAGGTACTAAAAAATAAACAGAAAATAGAGAAAAAAAAGTACATTTTAAATTTTCAGTTCCTTATAAATCACAAGATGTAAGTATTAGTCCTGGTGTCATTTTGTAAACAATCATTTCTGTTTAATAGCACTGAAAAACTGATGAGTTGAAGTATAGAAGTAATTTGTCAAAAATTCCATTCGAAAGTAAGATGTAAATGAGCTGAAAAATAAAGCTGTCATTGATAAGTTAATTTGTAATATTAACTTGTTAAGAAATAAAATAATGTGATTCTTCCTTCCTTTTTAGTTTTATAACTTTACTTATGATACTAGTGATCCTTGCGAGCCTGTATTCTCCTTTGTTATTGGAAGGTAAATGGCTTTTGAAAATTATTTTTTTTTAGTGCTGATATAGTGTAGAATTTGTATATTTTTTAATATGGCTTTCATATTTTTTCTTTTATGGTAATCCCCCCCCCAGAGTTTGCAGCTTAGAAACTGTAGACCAGACTCGTCTTCTGTGTGCCATAGAACTGCCTTTGAGTGATGTCATGCGCCATCAGTTAGAAAATATAGCACATGATACACCTGTTCCACCAGCAGTGGAAAATATTACAAATGCATCATCAACTTCTGTAAGTTTTCTGTAACTAGGAATAGATTGACATGTCCTAAATTCTACTTGAATATTAATATGTTTTAGTTTATAAAGAGACATTAAACAGTTGCATAACTGTTATATAATATGTATATGTGTTGTGTGTGCATACAGTGTACTCTTGACAGTCTATCAGTTTTCATGCATTAAATATTTTTTCTTAAAAAAATTAGTAATTTGTTTTTGAGAACATTAAATATTTTCTGAATTTTACTGTGTATTTTTCATGATGTTATTTTATCACTGTATTCAAATCCCCTTTGGTCAACAAAGTTCAACAGAGTTTCAACAGAAGTGATTGCTGTCTCGTGATTAATGTAACTGTCAGTATCAACTTCATTTGTGCCTTCAGTATTCCTCTTTTCTATTCTTGTGACACCTCACTGAGTCTGGGTCAGTTTAATCACCATTGAATTATTTCTCAATGTTTCCAAAATTGGCATATTCGAAGAATTTTACTCTATCAGTTTTTTGGATACAATTTTAGTTATTGCGATGACTTCTTCACAGTTAGATAAGTCTTTGATTTCTATATTTCTATATACACTCTTTTGCAAAAAAATCGAAGCACAGTGAAGGGAGTGGTTGTTTTTGATGATAGTGGATATGTATATAGCTCATACACAGATAATAAAATGAAGAATATCAATCGCATGGAGACGGTCCAGAGATATGCGAGCGGTATGTGGCCTGGCATTATCTTGTTGAAAAAGGGCCCCAGGATGACATGACATGAAGGGTAATGTAACCGGCTGCAGGATGGTATCAACATATTGTTGAGCTGTTAAAGATGTACGGAGAATGACTTAAGATGATTTGCTGTCATCAGAAATAGCACCCCACCCTATCACACCAGGGGTCATGGCTGTATGCCCTTGTAAAACAAAGGCTGATTGGGACCGCTGGCCCTGTCCTCTCCAGACACGAACACAGCGGTCATCTGCTTCAAGAGTGAAGCAGGATTCATTGCTCAACATTATATGATGCCAGTCTGATGGCAGGCATGATGATCCGTTACGACACCACTCCAGATGACTCCGCCGATGTTGTGGGGGTCAAAGGCAAACGTCTTAAAACCCTCTGTGAGCGTAACCTCTCCTAAGAAAAGCGGCGTGAGATGGTGGACGGTATCACGGGAGGTATAGACATGGCTGTAGTGCGTTGAATAGCCGACAATGATACCGTTGGGGTGGTTCGGGCTTGGCGAACGATCATCTTATCGTGCCTCGCATTTGTGCTCCTTGGCTTTCCAGAGCCTTCATTTCGTCAGCAGTTTCCTTGTTTTTCTAAGCAACCATTGCTGCCAACATGTTTGCACAGCAGTGTCTATATGCTGCAGCTGGCGGCCTATTGCTTGGTATGACCATCCAGCTTCACGCAACCCTACAATGCAACCACTTCGAAGTCGTTTAGTTGTCTGTAAGGTCTTCGATATCGTTGTAATGGCATCATTAGTTGCTTGTTTACAGAATTACAATGGCAGCAAAAAAAAAAAAAAAAAAAAGGATACATTTTCCACCTCTGTTAATGGTTTTATACTTTGCAAATTGCGCACTAGAAATGTGCGCTATGACTGCAATTCCTATTAATTTGCCTTGAAACTTTGATTATTTGCATGTTCGATCAGGATGTTTTTGCATACCAAATTTCGTCATGATCAGGACCACTGGACGTTCTTTCCAGGCACGAATATGGTGGTCATCTGCTTCAAGAGTGAAGCAGGATTTTTCGCTGAACACTATACGATGCCAGTCTGACGGCAGCCATGATGATGGGCTACGACATCACTCAAGACGGCTCCGCCAATACTGTGGGGTCAAAGGCAAATGTCTTAAAGGCCTCTGCGAGCGTAATCAAGATGCATACCAAATTTCATCACAATCGCAGAAGTCGTCCTTGGTGCTTCGATTTTATTGCAAAAGAGTGTGTATATATATATTTAAATTATTATATAAATTTTGAATTTTCACACACTCTTGCACTTGCCTTTAATGTGCGAGTAATACTCGCACATTAAAGGCAAGTGCAAGAGATCTTGGTCACACACAGATCTTGATCTCGGTCACATGCTTTATAATCCTCACCTAGATAATCAAGAGTACACTGTAAATTTGGTCTGCTAATAAAATATTGATTTAGAATTTTTTTTATTTTATTATTGAATTTTTTCAAAAAGGAGAGTGATAATTTTAATGTAATAACACATTAAATAAGAATGAACATGTTTTCTAAAAATTGCTTCAACTTTATATTTTATAATGCAATTATTTTCACATAAAAAAGTACACATCAACTTAATGCTCAAAATTTATCAGGCATTCAAAGGACCTTCCATTTACCTTAAAGAAATCTTAGTCGGTACCTTTTAAAAATATTTGTGGCTAATTCTTAACTCTTGATCATTATTCAGGTTACCAAATTCATTGGTAATTCTTTGTTTAAGTTTTGGTAATTGCATATTAGTGCAGCCACTTTAGTGCAGTCTCGCAATTTTTTACAGAAGAAATAGGCGATTCAGTAAACTTTCCAAGTTACAACAGATTTAGTTACCTAAAGGACTGTTATGCGCATGGTTGCCACAGTTTGGCAACTTCTACTAAGGTGATCATGATAATACAGAAGTACCAAATTTTGAACGTTTTCACTTAACTATAGAAACTTCTTTGATATCCCATTCTGAATCTGTGAAGTCACAGGATGCTATTATTACATCAAGTCATATCCTTAGAAGGACAGACTACAGTAAAGATAAATTCTTGTACATTATTTTCACAAAAATCTAGGTGCAGCATGAATAAATAAAATTAAAAAAGTAAAATATTAATAAGATTAGGCTAATTAATTTTTGGAATTAATTATCTATATATTCATAGTGCAAACTATTATTAGAAAGTAAGTTGTGTATTTAAATGGTCTTCTATTCTAAATTGTGCTTTTCCTGTACATTGAAAAAAATATTGGGATTATCTGAACTGTAAAATAAAAATATTATAATTATGTGACTCTGAATCATTTAAAAAAAGTTATGATTGTAAACTTTAAAATTTGAAGAATTTTTAATTGAAAAAACTGGTTTTCTCCTTATTTTTCCGTTTTTTTTTTTTTTTTTTCCAATATAGACAATATAGAATATTTCTCTCTTTTTCATAATAGTAAGAAATTTTGAACCAAATTAACAAAGACATGAAAGAAATGAAATTCAAAACCAGTAAAACTCAAAATTCCCCATAAATTTGTAAAAAATCACCTATTGTCACCAAATCAGAAGAATTTCTGAAAACTGCAGATATATGAACTACAAAAGATGTAGGAGGAGTAATGTAATCAAAATCTCATTCAATTATTATGATATTTTGTTTTAAAATAAAAATTTTTGATAATATATATATATATATATATATATATTTCCTAAACAGTATTGATTAATTGAATATATTATCTCCTAAGTTTAATTAAAGTAGAATTATTTTAAAAGTGTGCATCCATACTGGTAAGTTATATTTTGAAAGATGTTTTGAAGTAATTTGAAAGCAAAATGTTAATAATGTTTTAACGGGGACTAGAGTTAAGTCATCACAAAGAATAATATTTCAATTGTAAAAGGAAAAATTAAAACATGTAATTATTGTCATTGATCGGAAATTAGTTGACTTTTCAAGGGGAACAAACCAACTCTCGTTCAATGAACAATAATTGATAAAAATATGTAAATATGAAAGTGTTTCGTCTTTACTCGAGTTATAAGTTAAAGCCAAACCGGCAATTCTAGTCAGGCCAAATATTTCCGCTAATAGTTGCTACTCAAAGAACTTATTTTCATGAAGCATTTTAGTCAATTCAATTTGGAGTAAAAATCAGTTACTGTAGAGAAATCCTGTAAAACTCGAGTAACCGTCCCCGACACTATCATCTTTATGTATTTGAATACTATATTATTTGTAGAAATTAAACATTGGAAATTGTCATCATGAAATCGAATTCAAAGTAAAGTTGAAATAACATAGAAGATTATAAAAAAGATAAATAATGCAAACTTTGTAAAAACAAATCAAAGAAAACATAAAAAATATATAAAAATAATATAGAAAATAAATATAAATAAGATCAGTGAATGTACATGAAGATATAAAGGCCAGAAAGGTATTAAGTAACTTACATTCTTTCTAGTGGGGGAGTTGGCAGTGTGTTCTCTCTCGTGTCTGACTCAGAAGTGTAGGGTGTCCGAAAATTCTTAGCGGCAGTAGGGGCTTTGAATAATATCAGTCGATAAGACTTGGGTGAAATTTATGGTAGTGGGTGGGACTTGGAATTCTTGAGGGATGTATTTTGTGGAGTTCTTATCTGAGAGAGACCGTCTGTTAAGATTTTTTTGAAATCCTACTAGTGAATGGAAATTAATTAATTTCTGGCTAATTGTCGTGTCGCAATGATTAAGAATTTAAGAAAGGAAAAAGGCATTTTCGCTATCCAAGAGCTAATAGACAGTCTAAAGGCAGGAAATAGGCCCATTTTTTTTAGTAACAGTATAGTAACAGTATATGTCTGAAGACATTAGCTTTTTACAATATATACAATTGAGTAATTACACTATATACAAATCTTTCAACTGACAGTCATCCAACTTATACTGCCTTCTCAGGTTTAGGAATAAATTATCATATCCCTATCAGTTAAATGATTTAGAGTGAGTATTTAACGCCTGCTCTTTTAAGGCAATGGTTGATAAATTGAAAGGGAATTAGATTATTTTTGAGAATTTTGATAAGGATCAAAATTTCGCGTTGTAAATCTATTGTATCTGTGCATATAGTTTTAATTCGTTGTATTTGATTAATTATAGTATTGTTAATTACTTTTTTGGATATGTTGGAGTTCCAATTTATTAATTTGTTAGTATTAAAATTGAAGTTTCTTGTTTTGCCAAAAGTAAAATTTTTTTGTAGTTAATGATTTGAAGATCTAGAAAGTCTATGCTAT